TTACCCAAAGTATCTTGATCTTCGATGAGGCTCAACTAGGTACACTTTACGGATGAAGCTTGAACTTGGATCTTCAACTTGAATTGCATTGCTTCACTCCACTATTCCGCCAACCTCCATTGGATATGATCATCAATACTCGATTCCATCCATCCTTCAACATATTGTTTGCCTAGAATAAATATAAAAACAAACACTAGACAAACAATATTAGTTATAAATTATTTGTTAAAACATCATCAAAACAAAAAGGCCAACAAGAGGAACTGTAGGTTATACATCTAACTGACCATCTTTTTGGTTAAATTATGAGGGGGAATATGAGTCTAAACAAAGAGGCGGTGAGGACGAAGGTCATTTAGATGATAGTAATGATGAAGAATCCAAACCCAATCTCAAGTTTAAAGAAATAAAGATGAAGCGGAAGATGAAGTACCCTTTCTTCGATGTAGACATGGATATGAGTTCAGTCTACTTTGCACCTGGATTGAAGTTTACATCATGGAATGTATTGAAATAGGCTATTCTTAACTACTCTATTCAAAATCATGTATGATATTAAGTTGATGACGTAAATAGTTTTTGGGTTATTTTAATTGTGTTGTTTAGGAATTATGAAGTGTATGTATGCTACATGATATGACCATGTTTTTGTTTTCTGGGTTTGCACAGGTTTGAAGTTGTGTATATTTGGATGAGGTTTTTTTTTATCTTTGCACAGATTTGGAATTGTGCATATGAACATGATTGTGCATATTATGATATATATGTGTTTTCGTCAAAAGTCGTTTCCATTGATTATTCCATTAAAACTTCAGTCGTTTACAATGAAAAATAAAAAAATTACAACCTTTGAGAAAATAACACAAAAATCGTTTATCGACTTTTGCTTTGTGGGACTTTGCCTGTGCCGGGAGTGCTTTAGCTCGTGGACCACCAATTCACGGATCGTGAGGGGGTTTAGAGGTTCCTTCTTCGTTTATCGAAGTAGGAACTTGAAGTAAATATCTTATCGATGTAAGATTTTTACTCTTCCAAAGATCAAGTCAGAGCTTAGATCTCTAGGAATCACTGAGGGCTATCTATGCAAGATGAAGACTCTTTCTCTCTTGTTCAAAAATCATCAAAAGCTCAAGTTTCTATGCTCCAATCTGCTCTCTGTCCTTTGTTTCGTGTCTAGGAAGGTATTTATAGGGATAGAGGTGAACAACAGTGAAAATAGAGGCAAAATAACTGATCGAGCATAGTCTCTTTGGGCGCGTCAGTCTATGCTGCCGCGACTATTGGCGCGTCAGTATGGACTGGCGCGGCCAAAGAGACGGTTCCAGCCACGTTCCATCATGTTTGAAACCGTCCTCCCACGACTTTTAACCACTTTTTTAGTGGTTTAACTGCTTGTACACATCAGCACATATTCTCTTTCTGATATGCCGCCACGTGGACCTCCAAGAGATGTTAAAAACTGTCAACAATTTACATAAAAGGCCACTGTATTATTTGCGCGTCACACATCGCTACCGCGCCTTTGGCGCGTCACTATAGACTGCTGCGGCTTAGGCGCGTCACCATGGGCTGCCGCGCCTTATGCGCGTCACCATAGGCTGCCGCGCCTTATGCGCGTCACCATGAGCCTGCCCGCCTATACGTGTCGCCTGTCAGTGTATTTTGTCACATGCATGCACATTGTTTTCTTCTCAGTCTTGAGTTGTACTTAGATATCTATGAGCAATTTTTGACGCCTACAATATGTATGTATGATCCCATAAAGTTTTGATCCTTCATGCTGTGTAAATTTCAATTTTTTTTTCTTCTAGAGGCATGGCGTGTTATACATAAATTCAAGACAACAGATGCATGTTTTAGTGGATCATGTTTTTTTGGGGTTAAATGCATGTTTTCGTGAATCATGTTGTTGTGTCAAAGGAACATGCTTAAAAAGCTACATCATAGATATTGTATCTGCATCAAAATGGGAAAAAAAATTATTTACACATGAATATAAGCCTTTCATTTGAAGAGTACATCACACACCGTTGCATTTCATAACAAAAAAGCATCTCATATAATGTTTCTCCCCAACAATTACAGTTTCATACTCAAACTATTTACAACAAACAACCCTAAACACATTACAACAACGCCTAAAATCAAAATTACCATCTCATATAATTTGAGCATGTTCTTTTGAAGTTTGATTAGATCCTCACATCTTGTTTCTCCATCCTTAAATTTAAAATCTCTAATAAACAAGCATTAGCTTCTCTTTGGCCCATGTGAAACTCTTCTTTCATATTGGCAATATCAGCATGACATTCCTTCATCTCATTCTGACCATGTTCAATCAATTGATCCTTCAGGATATTATTGTTCCTTAATTTTAAGATTTCTTCTCTCGATAGATGGAACAAGGGAGATGCCGCATTACAGAATTGACTGTCAAACCTTTTCCAAACATGACAACCACCATTCTAAAGTTTTAAATTTAAAAGCATAGTATCAGTCACTAGTCAAGTTTACAACAAATCAAACGAAATCTAAAACTCAAACATTCAAAATAAAATAAAAAATTTACCCTATAATTTCAGCATCTATAGAACCTCCTCCCAAGGTTTTCATCTATCATTGATGTATAGTATCACACTCCGCTCCACAAAAACAAAATTTTACCCCCTATATCTTTGTTGCTTCATTCCATTTCCTAATACAACTCAAACTGTTGAAATCGAACCATGCCTAAAGTTTACTCCAGATGTCTACCCTTTTGAACTTAAACTTGAGTTTGACGAGGCTATGGTGGGTCTCGCACTAATTTGAATTAGATACATACTTTTGAAGATCGGAATGAAGGGGGAGGATGCAAGATATCAAGCCTTAATTTTTATTTCATCCCCAAATTTGAGCATGTGGAGGGAAGAGGTTTCAACTAAGGGGTTGTTTGTTTGCCTAAAAAAGAGGAAAATCAAAGAATAGGAAACCTATTTTTAAGAAAAATTGTGGGATGATTGTTTGGTTGGCTAAAAAAGAAGGAAATCAAAGAATGAGAGATGAGTTGTCACATTATTATTGGATGATGTGGGTGGTTTTTTAAGAAAATTTGTTTTGAAGTTGTTTGGTTGGCTAAAAAAATAAGAAAATAAATTATAAGAAACCTATTTCCTGTAATAGGTTCTTTTTTTGTGTTTGGTTCATTCATAAAAATAAGAAAATAAATGAGATAAAATGAGTTGTCATTATATTATTGGATGATGTGACCCACACTTAAGGAAATCGATTTCCTAGTTTTTTTTGGAGGAAATGGGTGGAAATAAAATGTTAATGAGATGATATGAGTTGTCACCATATTATTGGATGATGTCAGTGATTTTTAAAGATGAGATGAGTTGGATGATGTGGTCCATTTCTTGTGTTTGGTTTATTTTTAGGAGACGATATGAGATGAGTTGTGGGATGAAAATAATATATTATTGGATGTTGTGGTGAGTTTTAGGGGCTGTTTGGTTGTTGTTGGTAAATTTGTGTATTTATGACACAACTTGGAAAGTTGTTGTCCACCTCATCAATTTCACTTGTATACTTTTCTTTGTTTGTTTTTGATTCCATTGGAATCATAAATTGCTTGTTTGGTTTGTAAATGTAACATTAATTGTTTGTTTGGAAAGTGTAAAAAGTGGTCCCTACTCAAATGATCATATTGGTTGGAATTATTTTTTTATTTTTTTCTGACTTCAATGTCAACTTTCTCCTAAAATCATGTATTTTTTTATGAAATCACTTTACAAGCCACATCAGCATATGAAATCACTTTACACTATTTTCACAACTACAAACAAACAATTGAAAGTGAAGAAAGCTGACATTGGGACCCATTTTTTTACACTTTCCATCCTTTTACATGGTAAAAACATACAACCAAACAGCCCCTTAGGGATGTGAATGGATGAAAATAATATTTTATTGATTTCCATGTACCCTTTTCCTTTTCTTGATTTTTAGGAAACCAATCAAACAGCCCCTAACTCTACATCTTTAACATCTTTGCCATGTCAGCATTTATAAGGCTGAAAGTTGATCATGTGAACATCATATGACTCACTCCCAATGTTTTTTGGCTGCCGGTAACAAGAATGAGCATTATTGACTAAAAGGTCCAGAAAAAAAACCTTGTTGTCGCAGAACTTTTTAAATATACCAAACTGACAAATAGAGTTGAATAAAAATACCAATTTGATAATTTAGCCTTTTTTTATCTTTAGAACCTCAAGTACCCCATGGATTTTCAATTTTTCTGGCCGACTCCCTTACTCGTCTATAGGAAATAAACAAATATGTCAAGAGAAAAAAATTCTCTATTTAGTTATTTGCCATTCACGAACAACATACGTACGCCACTGCTCTTGTTGAGAGTTTTTCTCTCAAGAGAGTTTTACTTCTTTGACAGCTATAAGTATGATAGCTAAATTGAAGGTTTATTATTTTTTTGCTTTTATTTTTGTCTTTCACAAACAAAAAAGGGATTAAAGAGATTACTTACTATAAATATCCTAAATAAGTTATTACAAATATATTATCTAAGAAATTCTCTCCCTACATATGAGGATTAAATTTTAATTTTTCTATTCATGTGTACGAATTCTATCACAGCTCCGCAAAAAATAAAGGGCTCTGTGACATTCAAAAACTCCTATGAGGTTGATTTTAATTGGATTCTATTCTCCTTATCATGGACTAGTTAGCCCCTCAAAATAAGCTGCTAACTAATTTTAATTGTTAACAATGATTTAGTGACTAATTGGCCAAACTAAACGGGTTGGAAAATTAAGAAAGGATTGAATCTTAAACCCCTCAATTAGCCCATTGCCGTGTCGGGGGATTACGTGCAGAACCCCCAAAGTCCAGGGGTTTTTGCCGAATTAACTATTGAGTTACATGCATTTGATTCCAGTACATACAGGGAGATATAGTAGTAACTGTGATATAGTAGTTTATGATATTCCAGCGGCACAACAGAACCACAGTCAAAATTTCATTACTCTTTTTGGCTCCTTTTCGAGAGGGAAAATGAAAAAAGAGAAACCCTAAATTCTCCATCTTCGATCTCCAAACTCCCGTCAATCCCCCAACCCCTAACCCTAACTTCACCCCAATTCACCACATCACAAACCCTAACCCTAATCCTAATCTCTGAAAGCCTCGATGGAGCTCGTCGGAACAGAGATCACGAAGAAATTTAAGGGCTTTGGCGTCTTCACTGGCACCGTTCAGTCCTACGACGCGGCCGCCGGGTTCTTCAGGATCCAATACGAGGACGGAGACTCTGAGGAGGTCGATTTCGAAGAAATGAGTTCAATTCTCAAGGAAATGTGCGGATCTTCCCCCAAATTGGATCACTCCGTTCGAAAGAGCAACAGAGGCCGTCCACCTAAGAAACGGCAGCGATTCGACGAGAGTTCGACTGTGAATCTTGAAAAGAGTGAGCTTGATGAAACCCCAGGGAGTACGGCTGTTCGAAGGAGCGCTCGGAGAGCTTCGAAGCGTGAGAATGCATTGGCTTCTGAGGATGATGATTTGGGTGGTGTTGGCAAAGAGCTTGTTTCGGTGAAGCCTGAATTGCCGCCATCTTCAAAGGATTTAGATATAGATGGGCTCAATGTGTTTGATCTGTTCTCGGTTTATACGTGTTTGAGATCGTTTAGTAGGCTGTTATTCTTGAGCCCTTTTAAATTGGAGACCTTTATAGCTGGATTAAGGTGTAATTATGCTAACTTCTTGATTGATTCTATACATTTTTCGATATTGCAAGCGCTGAAGCCACATTTGGAGTCACTTGCGGAGGAGGGGTCTCAATCAGCTTCAGATTGCCTTAGGTATTTACTTGTGCATTCATTTAGTTGTTGCTTTTGATTGCATTATTGGTGAATTTGTTGAATGGTCTTGTAGGTACCTTAATTGGGGGTATCTAGACTTGGTTACATGGCCTGTGTTTCTTATCTACTATTTGGTAATTAATCGACCACAGATGAAGCCGGGTTTTAGGCTTAGTCAAATGAAACTCTTGGATTCAGAGTACTATGAACTGCCTGCTGCGGTCAAGCTTGAAATACTTCGATGTCTTTGTGATGATGTTATTGAGGTGAATACTATTAGATCAGATATCAATAGACGGATGAGCTCTGAAATTAATGTAGATGCACCACTCCTTAATGTAAATATTGGGAAGAAAAGAAAGTCTTCTGCCAGTATTGATCCTGCAGATAAGGAAGGGTCGGAAGAAGTAGATGATGGGAATTTTGACGAGTGTTGTCTTTGTGGAATGGATGGTAGTTTGATATGCTGTGATGGGTGTCCTGCTGCTTTTCATTCGAAATGTGTTGGGGTGGCTAAAGATCTTTTGCCTGAAGGAGAGTGGTATTGCCCTGAGTGCATGGTGGAGAGAAGCAATGGTGCAATAAAGTCATCAAAGCCCTCCAGCAGTGCAGAGCTTTTGGGTATTGATCCTCATGGGCGACTGTACTTTGGCATCTGTGATCGTCTTTTGGTGTGCGTCTAATCTACCTTATCCTTATCATCTCTGTAGATTTTTTTCACTAGTATATATTAATATTTTGATTATCAAATTCCTTTATATGAAATACAGGTTTGAAACATAAATATTGTTGATTCAAGCATTTGGTCCTTATCTATACATTTTAAAACCCTTATATGTTACATTTTTACACTGCAAATTTTCTAGGCCTTGAAACAAGAAAACTTCTTAGTTTCTGCTGTTTATTTCCTCCCTACTTGATAATAGACAGGGAAAATGTAAAATTGTTTGATATTCAGAATTTAGCCACTCTATACTTTGTAGATCAAATTGAATGTGGTGGATCTTCAATTTTTCTTTTCCCTATTGTTGAATTTTAATGGGAGGTTTTGCTTCCATGTCCTTCCAGACTTAGCCGAGTCCATCTCTTCACAGCTCACAATTTTTATAGTACTTACTTTTTTTTTAAAAGAAAATTAACCTTCCTTTATATTGCAACACGCACTTGCTACTTTATATCTAGTCAAGCTTTCAAATAATGTAATCATCTACTTTATTTATTTGTGTCTTGTTTTCATTTCCTGGTAGTTTTTTTTCTTGCTGTTAGCTATTTCCTGGATAGGGAAAAGGTATGCACATTCACTGTTATCTGTTTTGGCTCTTGACATTCATTTGAACAATGGGCAAACTATAAGCAGTTCAATTATGTACATCGAGATCTCTCAATAATTCTGCTGTTTTCTGTTTTTGACTCTCGACATTCATTTGAACAATGGGCAAACTATAAGCTGTTCAATTATGTACATCGAGATCTCTTAGTAATTCCATGTGTTTATGATGTAATGCCTTAGTTTGTGTAGCCTGCTGAAGCTTGTCTTTGATCACATGCACGTAATAGTACACATGTTTTTTTGCCTTAATATTTATTGGTCATTTAGCGATACTTGTAGATCATATTATTTATAGCTTATACGAGTTTTGCAGTGTCATGTGATGTGTTTATAATCTTTTGACCGTATAGACAACATACACCGTGCTTAGCAAGTAATATACTGGTGGATGGTTTTCTATGTGATATCCATTTTTTTATTTCTTTCCTTTTTTTCTGTATATCACATCAACCACCTGCTTGATGACTTTATGACCTTTCATTCTTATTTGCTGTTTTTATTAATAGTGTGAGACAGATACTATATTCTCGCTAGAATGAATAAACTTTTTTTGTTTGATTTAGATCTTATGATTTAAATTGTTGGTTTGTAGGTCTGATTCATGTGAACCAGATGCTTCATTTCATTATTACAATAAGGACGATTTGGATGCTGTTACCACTGTGTTAAAGTCATGCTATTCCTATAATGCTATTATAAATTCAATATCCATGTACTTTGGGTTTCCTATTGGTGCTTCTGTTGTCAATAATCAACCGGGGTATGATATTCTTTATGATGGGAAAGAAAATCTGGAGTCTCAAGTGCACAATGAGCTTCCTTTAACTTCAGGACATAGTGTTTTAAATGATGTTGATGCTGAAAAGTTACCATTGGAGAACTCTTTTTCTTCTGAAAATTGTGCACCTAAAGGTTCTCAACTTTCAGATTTAGGCCACTTGAATCCAGTGGTTTCTTCATGTTTTGAACCATTTGATGAGAAGGTTGATGCTGCTACCTGTATTGAAATGCCTCAGCAAACTGCTACTGATTTCCCCACTGATTTGGTTGCTCCTCCTTTGCAAGTTGTTTCTTTAAACAACACTGATTTACCTGCAGCTTCAGATAAGTGCAATGGTGTCCCAGGTTGGGCCAATATAACTGACAGAAAGAAAGGTGCATGCTCGGAGCTGCAATCTGATCCTGATAATTACAGCAATTGTTATAGTTTTGGTCGCATAGCTTCATTAGTATTTGCAGAGTTTGTGCGTAAGTCATCAGAAGAAAAGAGCAATGACCCCAAGAAGCCTATTGAAGATATAAAATCAACACAGCTCAAAGCAATATCTAACCAGTCCAAAGAATGCTGGTTTGCTTATCAGAAACTATCTATTGATGTGCAGAAAGAGAACTGTGGTTGGTGTTTTTCTTGCAGAGCATCCGATAATTTTGATTGCTTGTTTAAAGTTGCAATTAACAAGAACTTAGAAGGTCCTAAAGACAAAGATCTTAAAAGATCTAAGGACAGAGATCATGAAGATTCTAAGATTAGAATAGTTGGACCCAGTTCTCAGAAGAATGAGAAAAACCACATTATCTTTGCTGTGCATCATATTTTATCAATTGAACATCGTGCTCGTAGTCTTTTGTCTGGTCCATGGCAGAAGGCACACTATAGTGAACATTGGCGGAAGACTGTGATGAAGGCATCTGATGTTGCATCATTAAAGCCCCTTCTTCTTGCTGTAAGTGCTTTCTGAAACTAGTGTTGAACCTGATTAAACCCACCATGCACTTTGATAAACCTTTAATCCTGTGCCATTATTCTATTTGTACTGATTCTGGAAAATATTCTGCAGTTAGAATCAAATTTGCGGCGTGTTGCATTTTTGGGAGAATGGTCAAGATCAATGGATGATGCTCGTTCTATCGCCTCAGCTTCTATTGTTACAAGTCCAGTCCATGTATCTTCTAACTGTGTTGGCAGTAGAAAACGGGGGAGAAAAAGTATTTCTACTAATGAACTAAGTAGTATGTCTCGTCGTGCTACAATATCAGATATTTGTTGGTGGAGAGGTGGAAGACTATCACGGCAACTGTTCCAATGCAAGGTGTTGCCACGAGGATTGGCTTCCAAAGGTGGCCGCCAAGGTATGAGATTTCCATGTCAACTGTCCCGAGTGTCCTTTAGATTCTTTACAATTGTAAGATTCTTTTACCTGAATGTGATTTTAGTTTAAATTCTTACAGCTGGATTTAGAAAGATTCCACATATGTTATATCCTGACAATTCAGACTTCGCCAAGAGAAGCAAATATGTTGCCTGGCGGGGTGCTGTTGAGATGTCGCAAACTGTGGCACAGCTCATATACCAGGTAACAGCAACTTGTTTAGAATTTAAATTAGCGATATAGAAGCTTTATAAGTGCTATTCTATGTGTGAAATTTATCTGAAGATTGCAGAAATATCTCATTTCTATTTACTTGATTTTAGGTTAAAGATTTTGATTCAAGCATCAAGTGGTCAGAACTTTCTAGTACTCGTCTTTTTCCTAAGTTGGCAAAGGAATCAAAGAAGATTGCTAGGCAAATGAGGAATGTTACTATATGTGGAAAGTCCAAACAGGGGGAACAAATGAAATATTTGCTTGACTTTGGTAAGAGAGAGACTGTTCCGCCCCTTGTTATGAAACATGGAGTTTTGCTTGAAGAATCCTCTACTGAAAGAAAAAGATATTGGTTAAGTGAAGCTCATGTTCCTCTGCATCTTTTGAAATCTTACGAAGAGAAAAAGATGAAGAAAAGGACAGCCCGTTTATTGAAAAAGGTTGATTCTGGAATGCACCGTGTGAAGGATTCTGGAGAACAGAGTATGAAGGAAACCAAATGTAAAATGAAGAAAAGAAAAAAGTCAGAATGGCATTCTTACCTTATATCGAAGGAACAAGAAACTGAAACACAAGTTTGTGGGCATTGTAACAAAGATGTACTCGTCAGGTATGTGCTAGTACTTTTCCTTTTTCCTTTTCCCTTTTCTGCTATGAGGATTCTTTTCTCACTGAACCCTTTGTGATTTACTACAATGCTGACCATTTCTGTTGAAATCTTGGTAAATTTCATCTCCATCATGAGGAACTTAAACATTTTATCTCCAGCAAAAAGAGGTCTTCTAACCACTGAGTTGCTGGTGCACATAGTGTTGCGTAGTGAAAAGGATATAATTTCTGATGCATGATCTTGGTGCTGTTGGAACGTTTCACCTGGCTATTTTCTTATGATAGCTTGCGGGAAACATTGAACCTAGCTGATAAATTTTGTTAAGGCAGTCACTCAATACTTATAGACACTTATTACTGTAGTGAGGCATTACTTACAGTGTACGATGGCAATGGGTGAGATTTTGCTTTTGCTTTTTAGGAATAAGTCACCATGGCTTAGTTATTTCCATTTGAAATAGGATGAGCTAAGGCCTTAATTTACTTCGGTCCATGAAGAATTTCTACTTGGAGGAATTGTTGATCTTTAAGACATAACATAAACCAAAAGGTCAACATGTGCATGCTTCAAACGTATAGGGTTGGACTCATTTTTATTTATTTATCCAAAGCAGAGTTGCTAATTTTTTTTTCATAGTGAATATAAAACATTTATTCTCTTAAGGGATATTAGAAATTCACATTTTCTCGAAGTTTTACAGGAGCTAAAACATTTATTGCTCTAAAATAAAATAAACAATGCTTGACAGTTATTATGGAGGGAATATGAAATAGTGTATATTGAATCACTATACCAATTTGTTGGACAAAGTGTGGCGTGATATGTGTGCACGCTAGACATTAATACCCCTAGGGAATACAAACCTAGTTTTGTTCGTTTGCATGCCAATGTTATTCAATAGAAAGTGGACGATCTGTTCAAGCTAATCTTATATTAATGAAAAATCATGTGTATTAAGCATAATTAATTCATGCATCATATGGTTGCGCAAAATATGTTATGTAGTAAAGTTGGATGATACACTGCTAATCTTCTATAAATGAAAAATCATTTATATAAACATGTATTATTCATTCGCAAAATGGTTGTAAAAATTAATGGTTTTCTGACGATACAACTAAATGACTTCTTGTTGCATGAGTTCGGTAATTCTAATGGATGATCCATGTTTAACACAATCTCTTTAGTTCTCTTGTTGCCAATCGTTAATTTTACAACTAGTTTAAGCATGAATTATTAGAACATAATATGTCCAATTGTTTGTTTGTAAACCATTTAAGACATGCAGGTCAAAATGAATGAAGTGCGTTGTTCAAATTGGTGCTATATCATACAGTTTTATGAGCAGGCATAACCGAGCTTGTTGTGCCGTAGGAATATTAGAGTCCTATGTGTATAAATACTGTATATCTACACATCCATTTTATAAGCAGGCATAACCAACCTTGTTTTGCCCTAGGAGTACTAGGGTCCAGTGTGTATACATATCTTATATGTACACATATACATATAAATACATATAGGCTTGATGGTTGTGAGGTTGCGGCTTATTTGTTAGGCGAGCTACCATGAGATTAAAAATGATGAGGCGTCACTACTTTTATCTCTTAGAAGCTCATTTAGCAAAATGAGCCGCCACCTCGTACTTGATCGTTTCTTTCACACATACATTTATATATTTGTTTCAGGTGTGTTTGTCTAGGTTCCACTGATACGGGGGCACGGGGCACGGGGCACGGGGCACACCGATTTTGTAAAATGTAGGATACGGTGACACGTGACACTGATTTTGTAAAATGTAGGATACGGGGACACGACTATATATATATGTGTGTGTGTATTGAGAAAGAGAGAACAATATGGAGGAACTTGGTACAAAGCACAAGTTTTTGTGCTTGGTAGTGAGGTGACTCATTCCTATCCACTCACTCAAATGGGAGACCACATTCACATGGTTTGAAGAGTGGATGAAAATGAGACACCTTACTGCCAAACACAAATTTTGTGTGCTTGGTACGAAGTTCCTACATTTTTCTCATATATATATATATATAAATGATCCGAAAATCCAACTTAATAAAGAAGAAAGAGAAGCTTAAAATGATTTCTCAATTAGATTTCAAATTAAAAAACCCTAAAAAGCTTTACTGTTAAAAATACTAAGTCACTTACTATTTTGAGATATGAAATATTCTAGAATCAAAAATAGGAATGAGAGAAGGTCTTGTAGTGTCGAATAGAGAAGATCCAATCTCTAGTTGAGCTCTGGCTAGCGTGTTCTTCGTTCCTATGTTTGGGTTCGGAGAAGAGAGAGAAACGAATGGGAACACGCTTGACTTGACAAACAGGACACCTGTCCATAAAAAAGGGAAACAAAACTCCTGGATATTTTTAGAAAGGTTTAATTATGGATATTGGGTTATCAAGTTCAAAAACCTTAAACCTTTTGGTTTTGAATCCGATACCCAAAAGAACCCATTATTAGAGAGCTGATTGGGCTTATTTTTGTGTGGGATGCACTGGTTTAAAAGAAAAGGTACCCAAAAGAACCCATTATTGCCTGATTGGGTTTCCTTTTTTTAGGGTCCACTTGCTTAAGAGGAAACACTATGTCATGTTCGCACCCAACATGTGTCGGACACGGGAGCAGCCCTTGGTTTGCTGAATCGGGGTAACCTAGGTATTTTGTTTGCGAGCGCGTGTGTTTGCGTATGTCTATATATATATGTAAATATCTCTATATCTATATGTAAGTATATATATCTGTATATCTAATGTAATATATATTGACACACAAGCTTGTTATGCCCTAGGAGTATTAAAGTTTATATATGTTTATGTATTACATATGCATGCATGTCTTCATACATGTGCATCAACATATACCTGTAAAAACATGTGTGTGTGTGTCTATATATAAAACAGAGAATTACTCATTTTTCTCATATATATAATATATATATATATATATATATATATATATATATATATATAAGTATATATGCGTATGTTGGACCAAGCATAAATTATGTGTGGCTTGGCAGTGCAAGTGTCACAATCCCACAATCCACTCGATCATTACCCGCGATGTGATGTGTCCCATATTTGATGAGATGTGGGAGGAGGGAGAGTGATACATCACACCAAGCATAACTTTTGCTGCATTGATACCAACATACCCATATTCTCTCATCATAATATATATATATATATATATATATATATATATTATATTATATGTAATATATATATATAGTATATATATTATATTAATGGGTAGCTGTGGACAAGCACAACAACATCTATGATGGCTAGTGATATGGCACAATCCCTCCACTCATTAAATGGCTTCATATCCCCATCACTCCTCAACCCATAGTTTGAATTGGTCACCGCCCATTGAATGGGGGAGGGGATTATGCACCCAACA